GGTTGAAAACGGGGGACAGATACACGGAAAATGAAAAGGAAATGTGTGAAACATTAAACGAAAAGTGCCAAAGTGTGTTTGTACAAAACGAGATCCTCAGAGAACCAGACACAATAAGAATTCGAGAGAACAGCATAGAGCACAAAGAGGTTTTTAGAGACGAAGTTAAATAAATGCTCCTGGAGCTACTAGCATGGATGAAAAATTTTCTGATTGATTGAAAAATGAGGGCAGTAATCAGAGGCAATGTATCGGACTGGAGAAACGTCACAAGTGGAGTACCACAGGGTTCAGTTCTTGCACCAGTGATGTTTATTGTCTTCATAAACGATCTACCAGATGGAATACAGAATTATATGAACATGTTTGCTGATGATGCTAAGATAAGAGGAAGGATAAGAAACTTAGATGATTGTCATGCCCTTCAAGAAGACCTGGACAAAATAAGTATATGGAGCACCACTTGGCAAATGGAATTTAACGTGAATAAAGGCCATGTTATGGAATGTGGAATAGGAGAACATAAACTCCACACAACCTATAAATTATGTGAGAAATCTTTAAAGAACTCTGATAAAGAAAGAGATCTAGGGGTGGTTCTAGATAGAAAACTATCACCTGAGGGGACCACATTAATAGCATTGTGCGAAGAGCCTATGCTACGCTTTCTAACTTCAGAATTGCTTTTAAATACATGGATGGGGAAATACTAAAGAAATTTTTCACGACTTTTGCTAGGCAAAGCTGGAATATGCAGTGGTTGTGTGGTGCCCATATCTTAAGAAGCACATCAACAAACTGGAAAAGGTGCAAAAACAAGCTACTAAGTGACTCCCAGAACTGAATGGCAAGAGCTACGAGGAGAGGTTAGAGGCATTAAATAGGCCAAAACTAGAAGACTGAAGAAAAAGAGGTGATATGATCACTACTTACAAAATAGTAATAGGAATTGATAAAATTGATATGGAAGATTTCCTGAGACCTGGAACTTCAAGAACAAGAGGTCATAGATTTAAACTAACTAAACAAAGATGCCGAAGAAATATAAGAAAATTCACTTTCGCAAATAGAGTGGTAGACGGTTGGAACAAGTTAAGTGAGAAGGTGGTGGAGGCCAAAACCGTCAGTAGTTTCAAAGCTTTATATGACAAAGAGTGCTGGGAAGACAGGACACCACGAGCGTAGCTCTCATCCTGTAACTACACTTAGGTAATTGCACACACACACACACACACACACACACACACACACACACACACACACACACACACACACACACACACACACACACACACACACACACACACACACACACACACACACAGTGGAAGTGGAAATAGATGAAATGTTCACACGTAATAATACCAGAACGAGGGGACATGGGTGGAAACTGGAAACTCAGATGAGTCACAGGGATGTTAGGAAGTTTTCTTTTAGCATGAGAGTAGTGGAAAAATGGAATGCACTTGGGGAACATTTTGTGGAAGCAAACTCTATTCATACTTTTAAAGTTAGGTATGATAGGGAAATGTGACTGGAGTCATTGCTGTAAACAATCGATGGCTGGAAAGGCGGTATCCAAGAGTCAATGCTCGATCCTGCAAAGCACAAATAGGTGAGTACAAATAGGTGAATACACACACACACACACACACACACACACACACCAGAATCCTCTGACACCTTGTTAACCATCTCACAGATCTTCACACCTATTGAACAGTTTCCTCCATCAGCAGAACGCTCACCAAGAAGGGGACAAGAGAATGAACAGAAGAAAGTGAGCTTCAAGGCAATGTACAATAATATAAATGGCATTACGAATAAAACAAGTTTACTTGGAGAATGGGCACTAGAAGAAAACCCAGAAATAATAGCCTAACAGAAACAAAGCTATCGAAAACCATAACAAATGCAGTGTTTCCACAGGACTGCTATGTAGTGAGGAAAGAGAGAATGGAGAGGAGGAGGTCGTGTAGCTTTGCTGATGGGAAGAGGCTGAAATTTTTAAGAAAGGGTTATTCAGGGTTGTAAAGATTTCTGTGACTACATAACAGGTACCATAGCAATTGGAGGACAAAAAATCATAGTAGTAGTCATATATAACCCCCCACCAAACGCCAGAAGACCCAAACAGGAATATGATAGGAACAACATGGCCACCATCAATATAATAGAGAGAGCAGCTTCTGTAGCTAGCAGAAACGGATCCAGACTACAAATTATGGGAGACTTCAACCATGGGAAAATAGATTGGGAGAATAGAGACCCACATGGAGGACCGAACACAAGGAGAGCTAAGCTGCTGGACGTAGCAACAAGAAACTTTCTAAACCAACACATCAAGGGACCGACAAGAATGAGAGGAGAGGATGGACCAGCAATGCTCCATTTGATATTTCGCTAAATGTGTCGGATATAATGGAGGATAAGTGGGAAGCCCCCTTGGGAATGAGTGATCACAGTGTATTGATCTTTGAGTACCTGGTAGAGCTAGGAATTATCTCCCCAAAAAAGAACTGGGAAACAAAGGACTGGCGAACCGAAAGGGAAACTTGTTGGCTCCTCATGAACTATGAGGAGATGAGAAAATTCCTAAGGGATATACCATAGAAATCACAACTAAGTTAGCACATGACATGATGGGCTATATCACCCCAAAAGTGTCAGGAGGCAGTAAACAGGTTTATCCCGGCCCGACAGGAAAAAACCAAGAAGCAAAAAAAGAATCCATGGTTTAATAGTCCATGTATGAAAGCAAAAAAACTGAACAAAAGGGCGTGGAGGAAATTCCGAAATAACAGAACACCTGAAAGTAGAGAGAGATACCAGAGAACAAGGAACGAGTATGTTAGTGTGAGAAGAGAAACTGAGAAAAAATATGAAAATGATACAGCTAATAAAGCTAAGACCGAACCAAAGCTACTACACAGTCACATCAGGAAGAAAACAACAGTGAAGGAACACGTGATAAAACTTAAAACGGGTGAGGACAGGTATACAGAGAATGACAAAGAGGTGTGTGAAGAACTCAACAAGAGGTTCCAGGTGGTCTTCACAATAGAACAAGGAGAGGTCACGGCGCTAGGAGAGGAAGCAGTAAACCAGGCGGCCTTGGAATGGTATGAAATTACAAGAGATGAGGTCAAGAGGCACCTGTTGGATCTGGACGTGAGAAAGGCTGTTGGCCCGGACGGAATCTGACCATGGGTATTGAAAGAATGTGCAGGAGCGCTTTGCCTGCCACTCTCCATAGTGTATAGTAGGTCACTGGAAACGGGAGACCTACCAGAAATATGGAAGACGGCTAATGTAGTCCCAATATACAAAAAGGGTGACAGACAAGAAACACTGAACTACAGGCCAGTGTCCTTAAATTGTATACTATGGAAGGAGATGGAGAAGATCGTGAGAAAAAAACTAGTAACACATCTGGAGAGAAGGGACTTTGTGACAAACCATCAACATAGGTTCAGGGAGGGTAAATCTTGCCTTACAGGCTTAATAGAATTCTACAATCACGTGCCAAAGATTAAGCAGAAGTATGGGCGGACTGCCGGAAATCCCTTGACACAGTACCCCATAAAAGACCGATGCATAAGCTGGAGAGATAGGCAGGAGTAGCTGGTAAGGTGCTCCAGTGGATGAGGGAGTACCTAAGCAATAGGAAGCAGAGAGTTACAGTTAGGGGTGAGACCTCAGATTGGCGTGAAATCACAAGTGGAGTCACACAGGGCTCTGTACTCGGACCTATCCTGTTTCTGATATACGTAAATGATCTCCCAGAGGGTATAGGCTCATTCCTCTCTATGTTTGCTGACGACGCCAAAATTATGAGAAAGATTAAGACAAAGATGGACAGCTTAATGGTTCAAGAAGACCTGGACAAGCTGCAGGAATGGTCCAACAAATGGTTTTTAGAGTTTAACTCAAGCAACTGTAATGTAATGAAAATAGGTGTAGGGAACAGGAGACCAGATACAAGGTATCATTTGGGAGAGAGAGAAAGACCTGGGGGTTAATATCACGCCAGACCTGTCCCCTGAAGCTCATATCAAGAGGATAAACTCAGCGGCATATGCCAGGTTGGCTAACATAAGAACGGCCTTTAGAAGCTCCAGCATGGAGTCCATATCTACTCAAGGATAAGACTAAATTGGAAAAGGTTCAAAGGTTTGCCACCAGACTAGTACCCGAGCTGAGAGGTATGAGCTACGAGGAGAGACTACGGGAATTAAACCTCACGTCACTGGGTGACAGAAGAGTTTGAGGGGACATGATAACCACATGCAAGATTCTCAGAGGAATTGATAGGGTAGATAAAGACAGATTATTTAACACAAGGTCACACACACACACACACTAGGGAACACAGGTGGAAATTGAGTGCCCAAATGAGCCATAAAGACGTTAGAAAGAATTTTTTCAATATCAGAGTAGTAGAGAAATGGAATGCATTAGGCAGTGATGTGGTGGAGGCTGATTCCATACACAGTTTCAAATGTAGATATGATAGAGCCCAGTAGGCTCAGGAACCTGTACATCAGTTGATTGACAGTTGAGAGGCGGGACCAAATAGCCAGAGCTCAACCCCCGCAAGGACAACTAGATGAATACAACTAGGTCAGTACGCATATCCTTTATTTTAATCAATTTCACAAAAAATAAGAAGTAATTATCAGAAACAAAGAAGTAAACACTGTTCATATATCCATATATTCCCAGTCCTTCCCAAGCGTTTGTCCGCCGTAGTCCCACAGTTGGTCCCAGACGTCCACCATCTTGCGGACGTAGGAGGCCGCGTCCTCCCAATTTCCATCCCAGCCGTCTTCTAATTTTCTCCTCTTAGGGGCCGAGTCCGAACAGTCGAAATGTGAGATGAGTCTCTTACAGGAATACTCCGAGTACTCCATCTTGTCGGTGTTGATGGGAGGAAGGCTGCTGCTGGGAGACCTTAACCTGACTAGCATAGAGCCCCTAAGGTGTAATATATATCCGGGATGATCAAGAATATAGTTAAGGGGCTAAATATTGTCACGCCGCCAACCCTATTACCAACCACCATAGGCAGAGGTAAGTGGCCGTGTTCACTCAGATATTGTATAAGAGAGGGGGGAGGGGGAGAAAGAGGGGAGAGGGGGAGAAAGAGGGGAGAGGGAGAAAGAGGGGAGGGGGGGAGGAAGGGGGGAGAGAAATGGATGCAGCCGGGTTCCCCCTTTTATATATATAAATTATTGTTTTTTATTTTCATGGGAGGGGCGAGGGGTATCTTAGAGAGAGAGGGGGTGAGGGGAAGGGGGGTGAGGAAAATGGTGGAGATTAGAGTTAAGAGAAAGAAGGAGGAAGAGGATAAACAGGGAGAGAGGAGAGGTTGGGAAGGGGTTGGAGGGAAGATGAAGGATGAAGACGAGTTCATTCACTCATTCGTTTATAGAGGAGTTTTTGGTGATAATAATAAATGCTATTATTGACGTGTTTTATTCAATGTAAAGACAATATATATATATATATATATATATATATATATATATATATATATATATATATATATATATATATATATATATATATATATATATAATCTGGGTCTTCAAAATAAATAAATCAATAACCCTCAAGTTGACTATTTCCGTAACAGCATGCACTCCTGTATGCTAATCCCCACAATCACCAAGCCCACCCGAGTCAAACATCTGCCACTACCTTGGATCACTTATTGACTAATATAACAGCTCCCCTTACATCTGGTATGATCTATGCCAGAATAACTGACCACTGTCCTACCTTCCTCATAGCAAACAAGGACACAACACCCCAGAAAGCAAGAAACTCTCATTCAGACTACACAGTGAATTAGCTTTAGGCAATCTCTCTAATGCACTTCACAATATTAACTGGGAATCTAAATTCAATAATACACAGGATATAAACTCATTAACTAATCTCTTTCTCTCCAAAACTCTAAGCCTCTACAACACTCACTGTCCCCTCCTTACCAAACAAGTAACTGACAAAAGAAAAAACAATCCGTGGCTCACAAGTGGCATAATCAAATCAATCAACAAAAAACATGAATATGAAAAGAAATTTAGGATTGGCCTAGTTACAAAGGAAGTAGTTAAAAGGTACTCATCAGTGCTTACCAGTATCATAAGAAAAGCAAAACTTTCATATTATGAGACTAGATTCAAAGAAGCAAAAGGCAACATGAAAAGCACATGGAATTCCATCTCTAATATCCTAGGAACAAAGCAACACTCCCACAACCAGATAACACTCTCTAAGGATGGCCTTACACCGTTAACTGATTTAGAAATGGCAAATGAATTTAATAGCTTCTTTTCATCGGTTGGTGCTAACCTTGCCAGTAAAATCCCACAGACTCAGACACATATCAACACATATCTCTCAGGCAGCTATCCAAACTCTCTTCTCCTCTCACCAGTCAGCCCGACAGATGTTGTGTCCATCATACACTCACTAAAAACCAAAGCTGGGAACATCAGTGAAATCCCATCCATTATATACAAGAGCGCCTCCCAAGCCCTTGTGCCACCTATAGCTCTGCTGTTCAACAAATCCCTTGAGTGTCATACCTTCCCTGATATTCTTAAAAAAGCAAGAGTAACGCCAGTTCATAAAGGTGGTAATCCGGCGGACATAAACAATTATAGACCAATATCAAACCTACCCATACTATCAAAAATATTTGAAAAAATTATCTACAAACAGCTCTACTCCTATCTCGTAAAATTCGACATTCTTAGCCCGTGTCAGTTTGGCTTCCGCTCCCAAAAGAGTACCAACGATGCAATTATTAGTCTTCATGATATAATTTACTCAGCCCTTGACCAAAATGAGTTTCCGATTGGACTCTTCATTGACCTGAGAAAGGCCTTTGATACTGTTAATCACAATTACCTTTTACGCAAACTCCATCATTATGGAATCCGAGGCCATGCACTGGACTATATCCAATCCAATCTTAGTGACAGACACCAATGTGTAACCATCAATAATATAACCTCTCCCACTCTACCAGTAACCGTTGGAGTGCCACAGGGCAGCATCTTGGGACCTCTCCTATTTCTGATATACATCAATGATCTGCCCAATGTCTCTACCATTCTGAAACCTATTTTGTTTGCTGATGATACTACCCTCATCTACTCTAGCCCCAACCCCACATACACTAAATGATGTTGTTAATAATGAACTAAAAAAAAAGTCCACTTATGGATGTCAACAAATAAACTAACACTTAACATAGAAAAGACCTACTAAATCTTATTTGGAAGGAAATCTACAAATGCAATTCAGCTTCAGATAGATAATGTAAACATTAGCAATAAAAATGATGGAAAGTTTCTTGGCCTATTCCTAAACAAGAGACTCAACTTCAGCACCCACATACAACACATAACTTTGAAAGTCTCTAAAACAGTTGGGATACTCTCCAAAATCAGATATTATGTACCTAACTCTGCTCTCATCTCTCTATATTATGCACTAATCTATCCCTATCTTAATTATGGTATCTGTGCATGGGGTTCAACCACTGCAAACTACCTCAAGTCCATCATCACCCAGCAAAAATCTGCTATCAGAATAATAACAAATTCTGCTTTCAGACAACACTCAGCCCCCTTGTTAAACTCCCTAAACATGCTAAACATAATCTCACTCCACAAATTTTCTTGTGTCAATTACATTTACAAAACCCTGTTCTTAGATGCAAATCCTGCTCTGAAACTCTTCCTGGACAGATGTAATAGGACCCATTATCACCACACCAGAAATAAATATATCTTTGATATCCCCAGAGTCAAACTTAATCTGTGTAAACTCTCTTTGCAAATAAAGGAACCCAGTCTATGGAACTCACTCCCTAATGAATTGAAAAGCTGTCCAACTTTTGCGTCATTCGAAAACAAAACTAAAAAGTACCTAATTTCATCTGCATAGTTTTTTACCTTTTGCTTTAAAATTGCACGGTATCTATTGCTACCCAATCTCCCTATCTTTATGTACCCAATCCGATCATCTTTACCATTGTGATCATTGTTGTCTTCTTATATGTGCTATCAATCTGCTGTACGGTGTCTGTTAATCTTGTTTAAATTACCAATCAAGTTGTCAATGTAATCAACCAGAGCTTTAATATACCAATGTGCTTTAATATACTTACTATTCTCTCACATCTCATTTTTTTTCTTGCAATGTATCTGTTATCATTTTATTAATTCTGCTAGAATTTACCTACTAAAAATTATCTGTTAGATTAATGACCTGCCTGAAACGCTGCGCGTACTAGTGGCTTTACAAGATTGTAAATACTATGCTATGTATTCTCTCTAACCCAATGTACCTTCTTGTATATATATATATATATATATATATATATATATATATATATATATAAATATATATATATATATATATATATATATATATATATATATATATATATATATATATATAAAAATATGACCGAAAAAGTAAGATTAATAATTCTAACACGAATTTTCTCAATCTTTCGTACATTTCTTTTCACTGTTGGAGGTAATTCAAAAATCAATTCTCCAAAATTCATTTTTATTTCTAGTCTGACGCGACACTTGAGCGCGTTTCGTAAAACTTATTACATTTTCAAAGACTTTAGTTAACACATACACAACTGAATAGAACTTACACATCTCCGATTTTGTTTATATCTACATTTGAGTGAGGTGGATGGGGTGAGGTGGTATTTAATAAGGTATTAATTTCATGAACACAAGCCAGAACATGAAACAATGGGTATTGAATAGAAGTGATTGTAGAAAGCCTATTGGTCCATATTTCTTGATGCTTCTATATTGGAGCGGAGTCTTGAGGTGGGTAGAATATAGTTGTGCATTAATTGGCTGTTGATTGCTGGTGTTGACTTCTTGATGTGTAATGCCTCGCAGACGTCAAGCCGCCTGCTATCGCTGTATCTATCGATGATTTCTGTGTTGTTTACTAGGATTTCTCTGGCGATGGTTTGGTTGTGGGAAGAGATTATATGTTCCTTAATGGAGGCTCTTTCGGCCCACCTCTCATTCCCTTATTCCCCATTCCCTCTCATTCCACACACACACACACACTATGTGTGTGTGTATGTCTGTAGCCTCAGGCAGTCTAAGAAGATACAGTATATCTACCCTTCTTACCTTTCCCTGTAAGTATAAAGAAAACATGCTAGTGAGTCTATTTAGGAATATAGAGCTTCCTATCTATCCCATTTTTCTTGAATATTGAAACCAGTTTTGTGGCAGCTCACCAGTCTGTAATGTTGTAAGGCGTAGTTAGTAGGCAAGAAAGGATCCCATCACACTCCTTCAGGAACTCTGGTGATACCTTGCCTGATATGATCTGCTTATATTTTGTCTAGCTCCTATCACTGTTGTTTGACCTGTTTCATTGTGACTGCTATCCTGTCTTAGGCTGTTTTGGACCAGCCAGTGGGCGGGCCATGGACCAGCCAGTGGGCGGGCCATGGACCAGCCAGTGGGCGGGCCATGGACCAGCCAGTGGGCGGGCCATGGACCAGCCAGTGGGCGGGCCATGGACCAGCCAGTGGGCGGGCCATGGACCAGCCAGTGGGCGGGCCATGGACCAGCCAGTGGGCGGGCCATGGACCAGCCAGTGGGCGGGCCATGGACCAGCCAGTGTGTGGGCCATGGACCAGCCAGTGGGCGGGCCATGAACCAGCCAGTGGGCGGGCCATGGACCAGCCAGTGGGCGGGCCAATAAACAGACGAATCAACCCACCTGCAATTTCCGTTCAAATGATAATTACCTCAACATTAGAGGGCGTTGGCTGTGGTACCACGCCCCCCCCCCCCCTCCCCTCCTCCTCTCTCTCTCTCTCTCTCTCTCTCTCTCTCTCTCTCTCTCTCTCTCTCTCTCTCTCTCTCTCTCTCTCTCTCTCTCTCTCTCTCTCTCTCTCTCTCTCTCTCTCTCTCTCTCTCTCTCTATATATATATATATATATATATATATATATATATATATCATGTGCATTTTTCGTGCATTTTAGAATGCACAGA